GGTATATAAGTCTAACTACTATTACTATTCTATACCATTTCACACTGCTTTACAGCCTTCTCTAAGCGGTTCACAGAGTCAGCCTATTGCCCCCAACAATCTGGGTCCTTATTTTACCCACCTCGGAAAGATGGAAGTCTGAGTCAACCTTGAGCCTGTTGAGATTTGAACTGCCAAATTGCAGGCAGCCAGCAGGCAACAGAAATATCCTGCAGTACTGCACTCTAGCCACTGTGCCACCGTAGTTTACATATAAAGTAAAACATAAGTAGTTTAAAATAAACATTGAAACCAAAAACACATGGGGAGGGCAGGGCCAGAGTGGGTGGGGATGTGGGATTTGCTATTACTCAATCATGCATTAGAACAAGTAGTCATTGCGCTGGGGCCTCAAGCTGACGGGCAGAGCCAAATTTTTAGGCACTTATGAAAAGATAGGGTTGAGGCCAGTGGTGAAATTCATTTTTTTTTACTACTGGTTCTGTGGGCATGGCTTGGTGGGCATGGCTGGGGGAGGATACTGCAAAATCCCCATTCCCACCCCACTCTGGGGCCAGCCAGAGATGGTATTTGCCGGTTCTCCAAACTACTCAAAATTTCCACTACCAGTTCTCCAGAACCTGCTGAATTTCATTCCTGGTGGGGCCAATCTCACATCAGGGGGCAGGGGTCAAGATGTTCCAGAGGGCTGGAGCAAAAGCAGAGAAGGCCTCCTCCTGGACCCCTCTGCCGACATGAGTGGTACATGCCAATCCCAGTAGCAGATGGTCCCTTACCCTGGACTCATGCCATGAAGGGCTTTAAAGCTAATCACCAACACCTTGAATTGGAGTGGCAACCAATGTAGCTAACGGAGGAGTGGTGTTACAGGGGCCGTACTTTGGGGTCCCCGAAACTAACCATGCTGATGCACTCTGCATCAGGTGTAGCTTCCAAATGCTCTTCAAGGATATCCCTATATACAGCGCATTACAGTAGTCCTGTTGTGAGATGACTAGGGACTGAACGATTGAGTGCAAGGATCATAACTCCAGTCCACAGGAAATCTAAGAATTCTACTCCTTTTATTATGGGGGGGGGCATATGCTGCTGAAGGACAACACAGTTCTTAGCAGAAATAAATTTTCCATCAACATGCAGCTCACACGTGCAGAAAAATATTTAAATCATGATTAAACTGTCTTAAAAGAAGTGAGATTGACAACAAAGTCTTACAGTATTCTGTTTAGAATATCTCCCGGCCATTCTTTCTTTCTTTCTTTCCAGCTTCTCTATTCCCCTACTTTTCGTCCCACTGCAAATAATTAACATTCTGTAGCAAGTTAGCAAACAATGTTCTCCTTTTTCTTGTTTCATGAGAGGTTTGCCATGGTAGGGTTTCTTTTTCTGAAAAGCATTTTTCTGCCTGTGATTCCATTTTCATCATTCAGCATTTGAGCTTCCTGTAAAGATAATACCAGCAACAAGAAACAGGGTTGCACAGTATATTGATTTAATTAACAGAATGGACAAACAATTTAAATTTAACTGACTCGCAGATTAGACTTTTAATGCAGATACAATTTTAATTCTCACTGGATATAAAGAATCCTCTTGTTTCTAGGGTAATTTTGTTTCATATTTGTAAACTAGCTGATAACCCAGCGTTGTCCGGGTATTTACCGTATTTTTCAGAGTATAAGACTCACCTTTTTCCCTCAAAAAAGAGGCTGAAAATCTGGGTGCGTCTTATACATTGAATACAGCATTTTTTGCCTCTCGAAACCCTACCCCCTTCAACAAAATGGCCCTGCATAGCTTTTAGGAGGCTTTCAGAGAGCTCCTGGGAGCTGGGGAGGGCAGAAATGAGGTTTACAGAGTGCAAAAAAAAAAATTTTAATTTGCCTTTTCAAAACCTTGGTGCGTCTTATACTCCGAAAAATACAGTATTTATAAGGGGAAAATGTCCAGACCAAACATAATTTCTAATGTTGGATTTCCCCCCTTACCAAAGGAGCCCCCTTGTGGAGTACTGTGAAACTGTTACCATGGCAACTCCATTGCGCTGTACAGTAGAAACCATTTTACGGCAGTACAGTAGAAGCCATTTGTTGCCTGTATTGTAACAGAACACACATCCTGAGGGGTTTTAAGGGTGTCTTACCCCCACAATATTTGTTTCCAGAGAGTAAGTCATCTGTGTACCAAGTTTGGTTGAAATTGCTCAAGACATTCCAGAGTTATGTTGGAACACTTGTACGTGAGACAAAAATGGTGCCAGGCACATCTCTTTAATCTTTTGGCAGTGATACTCGTTAACGTAACTGATTATGCCAAACCCAGATGTCTTTTTGCAGTGGGAGCTTTCTGTCTTATCTCAAATCGCTGAAGGAATCATTCTTACTTTCTGCCACTCAGGAAAAAGTACAAAATAACCATTGAAAGAAGAAACCAGCTGGAAGAGTACAACATCGGCAAGCACCGGCAATTACGAGAAGACTCCATCAGGTCTCACTTTTCTGCTGCATGAAATAGAAAAGAATTGCTCTTGTGGGGATATATATACCTGTAGACAAATGGACGCTACCAAAGACTGCCACTGAAAAAAAAGAAGTGCGTTTAAGGACTCCACCTTTTAAAAGTGGAGTCGCCTTGTCTTAATTTTTTTTTTCAGAAACTCAGGAAATGATTTACTAGCCACATTATGCCACATGGCCTTTTTTATCTCATGGAAAGATGAATGATTAAAAGAAAAGATACCCGTTTTCTCACGGCAAGACATTGATTAATACTTTGCGGATATCTCAAGGCACATTTGGGGGTCTTGATGATGTAAACATTCCTTCACGATGCCTTGTGAATGTCAGGTGGCTCTTCACAACTATCACATACCAGATGCTTAAGTGCTTTCATAGACAAAGGGGCAGCTTCACATAGGGAACAAAATATGTTCTGAATTGAATGGTGGAGACGGGATGGGGGGAAAAGAGTGCAGCTTGTTCAGTGCAACATAATTTTGGAAAACAAACAATCATGCATCTCATCAACAGTGGAAGAAAATGAGGATTTAACACTGAGCACCAGTTGACGTCTCACATTAATTTTGAAATTAATCCGTAGTGATTCCTAGGGATTTTCTCTCGCTACTCTATTCTTAATATAAGAAAGAGAGCTGTATCCATGAGAAGGGAAAATTCTTTTTCAAATAAATTCCACTTTACCCTGAATTTTTATTTTGAGGAAGTTTCCCCACCCACATTACTTCCACTTCCAGAGGAAATGCTTCTTGACTTTAGATCCATAATCTCCAGCTTGTTGCCCGCCGGATGTCTCAAGCTGTAGCTCCCTAAATTTTCAGCTTTGCTGTTAGGAATCTGACCAATTATAATCATACTTTGAGAGCCAGCGTAGAACATGGTGGTTTAGTCATGGCCTAGGATCTGGGAGAGTCCGGTTCATGTCGATCCCTGGACCTCTTCAAACGACTTTGCACAATTTTGTTTCGGTCCAACCTGCCCCATAAAGATTTTGCTGTATGTATAAAATTAGAGGAATCAATATTAAATATTCACCAAGATCTGACAAATGATAAATTCATAATCGGTCTATACAGTGTAGGTTATTTTAGAAATTTGGTATAAGATTCACACAAAAGGATTTTGGAGGAAAGAGATACAGTTTTAGGCCAGCTTGTATATATAAGTTAGCCTAAAGTGGTGGAATCCTGAAGTTCGGGTTTTCTACTTCAGAATGCAAATGTCCTGAATATTTTCCTAGGTAGGAAAAAAAGTTAAGGTATTTTGAAATAATTCAGACAAGATTGTTCTAGCTCAGGGGTGTCAAACTGAAAGCCTGATGGCCGGATCCGGCCCACGGGGTGCTTAGATCTGGCCCGCAACACCGCCCTGGAAACAGCAAAGGACCAGCCCACGGTGCCTCTGCCAGTGAAAATGAAGCTTAGGAAGGCCATGCATGACTCTCCCAGACTCTGTTTTCAGCTGCAATGGCCTCCTGCAGCCCTCTGCCAGTGAAAAAGGAGCATGCGGGCCCCCTGAGCTCCGTTTTCACCACCAGAGGGCTGCAGGAGGCTGTCACAGCCAAAAATGGAGCTCGGGAGCAAGGCATGGGTTCCAGCTTCTGTTACTGCCAGTTAGGGTTAAGGTTAAAAAAAATAAAGCAAAAAACAAAATGGCGGCACCGATAGAACCGGTTCGGGGGCGTGGCCAGCCGAGTTACTACCTACTTGGCCGAACCGGTAAGAATCCACCTCTGTTGGGAGCCCATTTTTGCTGGCAGAGTGCTCAGGTCACCACAGGTAACACCTCCCAACAAGAGTGACGTCAAGCTGGTCATGCCCCCACTCCAAGGTCAAATACAACACTGATGCAGCCCTCAGTGAAATCAAGTTTGACACCCCTGTTCTAGCTAGCTAATCCTCTCAGTGGTGGATTAGCTGGTGTGGATTTCTATGAAGCATTTAAAGATTGAAGGAGTCCAGCAGGTTCTACCATCTGGATGCCTATCTCACATACTTGATGTGTAAATCAGATTTTACAGCTGCCGTTGACTCAAATCAAAATCTCTGCCTCTAATCAAAGCACATGCTGCTCTCTACACAAGTAGTTCTCGACTTATGACCACTTGTTTAGTGACTATTGGAAGTTACAGCGGCAGGGAAAACACTTGATTTCTCGCCACTCTTCAGGTGACTGTTGCAGCATCTCCAGAGTCACCTGATCAAAATTCAGATGCTTGGCAACTGGCAAGGATTGAAGATGGTTTCATATCCCTTTTGCAACTTTCTGACAAGCAAAGCCAATGGAGAAGTTAGATTCACTTAACAACCACTAACTTCACTGTAATTATTCACTTAACAACCGTTTTGGGCTCAGTTGTAGTCATAAATTGAGGATTATCTGAATGGGCATGCTTGATATAAATGGACAAACATGCACACATCATTGGAAATTCAGGTGAAATTCTTCTCTGAGTGGTGACCTGTTGGTCCTTAAGTCTATAATTGTCACTACTGAAATTTAAACTAATGAGAAGAGGGACCCTTGGTGAATGTAAAATGACAGCAAACCCCACGCCTTACTTAGCACTGATGATCTTTCCTAGTGTGGTGAATGAAACGTCTGCAAGAAAACATCCAAACTCAGAGAGCACCAACATGAGCACCTCATTTCAACCCTGAGCTACAAATATTTTTCTCTAGTGCAATTAATGAGATGCTTGGCCCCCACAGTTGTATACTGTGTGTCAGGGTTCCAAGTAACATACCCACAGCAAACAAAACTCCGAGGCAGGTAGATTTCTCAAAGAATAAATTTATTTGATATGCCGTATTGGCACAGGCTGGTGAAAACTGACTCTGAAGGTTCCCACAGTTTTCACCTAATTAAAAGTAAAAGTTTTCCCCCCACCCCAAACAATCAGTGACGTGGTCCAATCAAAGCACTGTCTGGTTGCCTAGTGACATTACTCCTCCTTCCTCTGACCAGGTGTGAGAATATCCTTGGTTCCCAAGAGAAAGTATTTTGTTTTGGCTACAAAACGCCAGCTATCTCTAATCCCCACCTCCCTATCCCTCAGCTCCAGTGTGGCAACACTGAAACTCCAAGATGGCTTTGGTCAGGTCAGCTTCATGGTTGACACTGCAGATGTGAAAATCCTGATGTCTCCCCCTCACAGTGGTGGGATTCATATAATTTAACAACCGGTTCTATGCCATAATGACCAGCTGGGTAGGCACAGCTCGGTGGTCATGTGACAATGTGGCTATGGCCAACTCACGTCGATGGGCGCTTTGCCTTAGCTGTTACAATGTAATAAGGGTTAACCGGAGAGGCAGTTTCTGTAAGCAGGGCAATAAAGATGAGGCTAGAAACAACACCAGAATTTTTCCTTCCTGCCTTCCTTACAGGATTAGCCCTGTAAAGTGGGAAAAAGTGGGGAAAAAATAAAATAAGATTTCTTCCAACAACCGGTTCTCCAAACTGCTTAGAAAATTACGAACCGGTTCTCCCAAATAGGTGTGAACTGGCTCAATCCCATCACTGCTCTCTCCCCAAAGCACTGGTGGGCTGTTGCAAGTTTGGACTGTTCGGCTGAACCGGTAGTTCCAAGCACTGACTGGCCCCGCCCACCCTCTATCAGGTCCTAGATATCTTACTGTTCAGCTTGCTCTTCTCGCCCCGCAGCCCAGCTGAGTTGCGCACCTCTGCCATTCTAAGCGTTGCTGTCTTGCAGGCGTGCAGGTAGCCACACCCATTGAAAAAGCTTTGTTTTAGGTGTTGCGCGCAAGCACAAAAGGTGCATGTGCATAACACATGTTCTCATTTCCGGTGAACTGGTTGTTAAAGTATGTGCAGCCCACCTCTGCCCCAAAGCAACTGGTTTTCAAAACCAGACTGTTACTCAAGTGTTCCATTGAAAACTGTGGTACTTATGAGAAAAAAGGTGTAGAATCAGGTTGGAATACAACGTCTACCCTCTACAATTGTTCGTAGGATGCAAATACCCAACTGCCAACTTGGAGCCTTGGGTACAGCCCAAACTTTGTAAATACCACGTGGCAGAATAGTTTTGCACAGCAATGGAAGTCACAAGTACTTGGTTGTATAAAAATGATATCAACATTTTATTTTTAGGTATTCCTATATTTTTTCTATTAGAAAAATGATTATCTATTTGGGATATCTGTTCCACTTTGGAAAAGATATCTGTTTGGGATCTCTGCTTATGTGGGGAAAATCAAATGAAGAGGATGTTTGAAAAGCTTCCCCCCCCCCTTTTTGAGTCTAAATATTCATGAGCAGAGAACTTAGATGCAATAAAAGTCTAATCTTTTATTTCAGCATTCTTTCAGTCCACAGTGGCAATACATAAGAATTGAAAGTTGATGCTCATATCTTGAATAGAAAAGAAGATCAGGCTTACACAGGAGTCTGTTTGCCTTTATTTACAAAAAAAAAAAAAAAACCATACACAGAGAAACAATAAATTCTATTTTTTTTAAAAAAAACCTTTGGATTAGGTTTTCTGTCTATTGCTCTAAAATTTCGATCTTTGTGCTTCAGTTCAATTGAACATTGAGGAAATTCTTTAACCATTTGAAATGAAAGTGATCCTAAATATTCATTACATTGCAGTCCAAATAATACATACAGTGCTCAGACAAGTATACTGAAAATTAATTAATTAAGAATTAAGTAATTATCTAATAGTTGCCCCAATTCAAGGGAAAAACAAGACAGAAGATCACTTTTGGGGCATGTGTCACTTAACCAGTAGCTTTTGGTGAAAATGGTCAAGTGTTCCCAATTTCATAGAAATTTCCAGAATATTCGGTCACTTTTACTAGAAGACTAGTAAAGACTACTAGAAGATTAATGTTATCCGTGCAGAACTCTTAGGAAAATCCATTTCTGAGGAAACATGCATTGAATTGCACGATTAAATATATACTATTTTCCCCTTTGGTATTCCTTAGAACCAGCTCTGAGCAAAGTAGTGAATTGGAGTGTTTCCATTTCAAATAAGTGCCTATACCTATATATAATGTTCAAGCCAACGCTAAATTTGAAAGTGATGTAATTATATCATGGCATGCAAAAGGACTTTTTTATCCGTGTAGATTTTGAGGTATACCCAAAGTAACTCTGGTAAATGCAAAAATACAATTCTACTTTGAAAAAAATGCTTGCATTTAATAATGATAAATTTCAGATATTTTTTCCTACTTGTTGACTTGGATCCCAA